AGGAAGCACCAGCATTATTGGTATATATTTACAGGTAGAGCCCAAATTTCTACTTAGCTAGCAAAGGCACCTTCATTGCTAAATACTGCCTGGCACAACTACATTTCCATTAATTTCCATGAGTAGTACTCCGGAGGCACAATCATGCTAATATTAGCTAACATTAATAAGAATGACAGTAACTTAGCATGTGGTTTATAGGCCCTAAGTGGTTCATTTACAAAACTGTGCAGATCTTTATTAATTCCAAATGTGACTTTTAAATTCTTTTTCATGCTTGCATGAAAGCTTATAGAAATAGTAAGCTCGTTCATACTACTGTTGTATTTGAAGTGTGCATAGGCCCTTTATCAGAAATTCCCAAAGAAGTTAATTTCCTGTCTGGAGGACATTTATATGTGTTGCCTTTATTATTCTGTTAGATTTCCTAATAAGAAAGGACTGGGTTGTAGAATAAAATGGTTGGAATGTCATTCTCCTTCCAATTGTTTGCTGAGAAAATACAGAACAAGCAACTAAATTATTGGCACTATGACGGCTGTTGTCTGATGACTTCAGAAATCCAGAAGAAAATCTAGAGTTATTTGCACAGTCATCACAACACTCTGGGCTAGAAGTATGGAACTCATTTTTAAGAATGCCTTTGCTTATGATTGCATGTAGACTATGGCACAAACTGTTTTGTGCTGGGAACAAATGGTGAGCCAAATCCTACCAACACAGCAAAACAGATGATTTTAAGGACAGGACTCTAATTAAGCATATGAGCGAGATTCCCTCCATTTCCCTCCCTCCACTTGCTGCTGATGCATCTTTCTCAACGTTCTCTTCCTGTAAAGTCTCCACCCTGCCCCTCCTTCCTGACTGCTACCACAATAGCTGTGCCCTTTATCACCAAAATATCTCTAGCTGTTTGCACAATAAAAAATAGCCATTTCCTCAGTGCCTCTTGCAATTTTACACTGAAAAGGGAGGGAAAAATGTTGTGCTTTCTTAATGTGCAATGTGGTATCACTCCAAGGAAACCACTTGCTGATACAGTACCATCTGTCAATTGCTATCTGCTAACTGAGGTTCATACTAGCAAAGTTTTCCACTTCATTTTTTCTTTTGTAAAGAGTTCTTTTTGAAAGTTTCTTCTTGAAAGGGTTCTTTTTCACTTACTGCATTCTAAAAAAATGGATGTCCTTTTAAAGATAAAATTTATTTCTAAAATATGTAAGACCTTATTATGTATAACGTAATATTTTCTATCCAGAGCTCTCAAGACACTCAACTTCTGCATAACAGCAGAAATCACCCCTACTCATTTTATTACTTAGCTTAACTTCTTCTTTTTCACATTTGCATTTCAAAAGTTCCTACCAGCTTTGTCTTCTTTTCTCACCACTTCTGTACCTGCTTCCCTTTTTCCTCCCCAATGCAAGTTCTTCCATGCATAGCCTGCCCTCCAAGGATGCTTGTAATTCACAGCTGCAGTTCCTTACTCCACTTCCCTCATTTGCCCCAACCAATGCCTTCTTTCCCTGTGCTTTGTTCCTCAACATCACTCCCCTGTCCCCTTCCTTACTAATCACACTGACTGAAGTATATTCCATACAGAATAACAATAGAAAAAGAGAATCTAATGCCTTTAGAGAATGAAATTCATTAGATTTGTTTTCAGGTGCTTGCATTAAGGCCTATGGAACTATGCCTTTATTTACAGAAAGTCTGGACTCCTGACTCTGACTAGGTAGAGTACCACTCAAGGAAAGAGGAATATTCCACTGGATGTCCAAACTTATGGTAACAATTTATCTGTTCTTCACTCCTGATTGTACCTTTTAGATACCTAGCCTGATAACCTGGGTAATATGCTCAACAGAATCTGCCTATAGATCTCATTATTACTAAAGCATAATGTTTGTATTCCCCACACCCAACAAAGTACCTCAGGGATACTGTCACATTTAGATTTCATAACACTTACTCACAGCAAATTATACCCTAACAGTAATGTAGAGACAGCTTTTTTTCAATCTGCTTCTTATCTTTCATTGGTTGAGAAGCCAGCCTTATCCACTCATTAAATTCTCATTTAATCAGTTGCTTCTCATTTGTTTACTTTTTTCCTCAGGTAGCCCTAAACAGCCAGGATATGTGATGCAATGATGTGAGCATCCATGAAATAATCTCCAATGCCCATCTTAAAATTTTAACTCTCTATCTTTTATACACTGGCTGTGATTAGAATTAGCATGCTGAAAATGTGCCTAGGATATGAGCAATGCTGTTTCACTGCCTCCTTGTAATAGCAGAGGTACTATGTCTAACAAGGCAAAACATGCTGCTGCGCAGAGACACCTAAGTTGGCCTAGGCTGATTTAATTCAAAGAGTGGAAACGCAGCTGTGACCAGCTAATTAGATCTTCTCAGAAGTAGCTGAGGAGCAGAGTTAGAACACTTCAGTGTAATGAATTTTACATCTGTTTTCTACCAAAGGTATTTCTGATATGGTACTGCATCAGACAAACCTATGCTCTAGGCTTTTCTTGGTTCTTGTGTAGTGTGTACCCTAAAGGGAGATATTATCAAACTTTGGGAGAGATTTTGCACAGGCAATAACAATCATCACCAAACTCTCACGTCAGCCTCCATACAATACTGACTGCTTCTCTGAAGGAAGCAGGAATTAAGCCTGCTCCTTCCCAGTCAGAGGAGATTCTGCAGTGTGACATAAGATGCTATGTCTCAAAATCCAGAAGCACTGCATATTACCTAAGCGATATTATCTTCAGCAGGGTCTTCTTGTCCTTAGACCTTTTTTTAAATGAAAATCTATTTCATAAAATATGTTTCAGTGTTTCCTTTAAGTTACTGTATAAATGTACAGAAGATTCTTTTCAGTGTGTAACTTTGGGCTAGTCACAGAACAAGAATATAAACGTGTCTCGTTAACTAAAAATATGAATAATTTTTAGACTATATTTTAGAGTATTTCTCCTGATTCAAAGATGAAGATTTAAACCAGGGCTGAAATGAAAACTTGTTTCCATCTAGCTACTGCAGGTGGCCACGTGACTGTAAAATTAAACACTAAGAAGTTTCAACCATTATATCTGTCCTAAATGTGGGCTGGGTATCCAGTAAAATCAAGCAAGACAACATTTTGGCTATTTGAATCAGCAGTTGGCGAAAATACACAGTTCAAGGACACACTGTCAAAACAAAGTGGAAGAGATTTTTGGAAATGTTTGTCTTTTCTGTTCCCTGTTCAGCCCACACAACCAATGAAGTATTTTCTGAAAACAGAGAGCAACTCAGAGTAACATCCCAACATGTGCAAGGCATTTTGTTCATAATGCTCTAGAGGAAACTTTCAAGACAAACAGGGAGCCAGCTATGGGTGGTCTTCGGAATGTGAAGAGGAATGTTTTAAAGTAGCTTTACCAGGCTTGGAAAATATACCTATAAGGGCTAACATACGCGTTTAAATCTGTGCTCCAGGTTCAGTGTGTATGTGAGAGTGACATCCAACCAGGCATGCTGGAGGGCAGTAAGTACAGTGCGCTGCATGAACATAAGCTTTCTTCTCACTTCAAACAGCCAGCAAACCTAGTTCAAGTCAATCTGCATTTCCTTCAGACCAATTCGAAAATAGGTGTTACAGATAGTTTCAGCAAAAAAACATTCAAGCAAAATTTTGTCATTTATCTACCAGTTCTTATAGAGTCTAGGAATTATCTTTGCCGTGACACAAGTGAAGAGGAATGAACTGTGTCAAGACTGGCATTATGATGAAACTCATGCTGTCATATGTGGTTACTTCCCTCTAAGTTTTTGTACTTCATGTCACACTGAATAAATATGCATTTTGATACCTGGAGTACTAAAGGGTCATTAACATCAAATTATGACAGATGGAATAGAGAGTAGATTTTTGCTACTCAAAAGAAAAATCTCTTTGACCTTTACATGAAAAAAAATCAATTTCTTAAGACTTAAGGTTAAAGAGTACATGCCAAAGTTATTTCATAGATCTGCTTTTCGTTGTTGCAGAAGATGCTCTCCGAAAATGAATATTGCTGACCTTTCAGACTGTGAACCCTATCAGCCTTCTCAATCTTTCTGTATTCTTAGAAACTTTAACTTCTTTATATGGAAGCTGACTATAATCTGGGATGTCACAGATTTATGTTTATAGTTCTGATACAGTGGTACATAAAATGCCAGCGTTAATGATAATGTTACAGGGAGGTCTCTGCTGCACGATTAGCAACGCTCTGTAGGACTGAAGAAAACCTGAAACATTTGTGCTAATGCTGATCACAGATTCCAGAGTAAAAATAACTGCCTTGGTCTGGAACATTTAACAAACCATATTTTCCAACTGAAATAACAGCATCTGAATTTGTTAGGTTTAATACCCATCCTAGGGACTCTGTGCAAGTTAAACATGAGGCCAGGTAACCTAAGGACAGGGGAGAATTTGTGGGATGATTCCAAAGTAAATAGCGTGATTTGAAAATGTGACAAGCGCTTTAAAAAAAAAAAAAATCAGTTAAATGTAGCTTTCCAGCATAATTTCAGTCAAGTCAAAACTGACTGGCAGATAATTTTAACATGAGGCAACTGCTGCTTTGCTGCTAGTAGCCGCAATCCCTTTCATGAAATCCCACTGGCTTGTGATTTATGTGCGCATGTTAGAAAGCTTCTGACCTGATTCCTAAAGCCAAAATAAAGTATGGCCTGTGCAGCAAACTGGAATCTCCCTGGAGCCACAGAGTAATGCCATGCTTCAGTCAAAGACTCAGGATTCATGATAGCAACACCATGCCAAGGAGCTGGTAATGGAGACGTGCTTGCACATATGTCGCTGTCATATCACACATTTGTTTGTACACAGAGCTCAGACTTCCAAGCTCAGGTTAATTTTAGCTGGACTCGGATGATCCTGTCAGACCCCTCATCCCTCACTATGTTAATTATTGCTTAGCACTCTCCACCAGCTGACTTACCTTTTTCAGTTTGTGTGAATCACTGATGGGAAAGAAGCAGCGTGTGTCGCTGGCTGAGACCTCCTTGTATCTTCCTTGCCATGTTTTACTCTGTTTGTTCGGGGAGATCCCATTAACAACTGCTGAAAGGAAGCTGTTGGTCATGAGGGGAGTCAGGGTCTGGCAGAACAGGCAGACGGCCACCACCAGGGCCAGGAGGAGGGGGCGAGGGCGACAAAGCCTGCGGCATCTGGGGCCGTGCCCACAAACCATGGCCAATGTGCTGTCCTCACTCCACCCTTGGCCACATTGCAGAAGCAGTAGCCATGTCCTGACGGTAAAAATGCCGAAACGGGCTTTATCCAAAGCTACGGAGGGCTTTCCCCATTCCCGCTGCTGAGTGCTTTCCTGGTGCCTGGCAAGAAGTCACCGCGTCCAGAAGAGCAGGGTCCTGTGAACTGCCCTCCCATGGGGCTGTGGGAACAACCTGTGGGAAAGAACAGAAGTGAGAAGCAGCACGCCATGGGGCATGGGGTGCTCTGCCTGGAGCCATGGCGACCTCCACGCACCGGGAGGACAGACCTGGTGGCAGGCAGGTGGGCAGAGGGGATCCGCAACCCCAGCCTTGCAGCAGGAACTGCTCAGCCAGATAGCACCTAAGAATGCAAGAGGTTAAAGCTTAACATGCTCTGTCCACAGCCAAAAAGAGTAAGAGAGTGTACCAACCTCTTGAACAATCGTTTGCTGTTTTTTCTCTCTTGCATTCTGAATTCCCACTTTGTTTTTATAGTTCCTTTCAGTCCGGTCCCTTTAAATTGCCTCTTTCCTGTCAGTATGCACAGACCTCACTCTAAAAGTGATCAATTATCTAAAAACTGACAGACTACAAAGATTTTCTCTTGCATTTGTTTCGTCCAGATTGTGAGTTCAAAGTTACGCTTACTTACTCAGCTCTTATCCCGTTAGAAGTTTTCCATTCCCCTCTAATGGGCTGCTGATTAAAACCACTTGGTTGGAGCCTGGCTCATGATCCCAGCTCGTCTCACACACTCCGAGGCAGGCACACGCACATACACACACCATCTGAAGCCAGTTGGACCACAGACTTCATATAAATAAAGGCTGGACTGCTTGGAGGGTGGGGCTAAGCGAGCTCAGCTGGGGCAGGCTCGGGGTTGGAGACGCAGCCCTGGAGCGGGTGGGGAACCAGAGGTGTCCCTCTTGCTGCGTGCCTCCAAGACACCGGCACTGCAATTTTTAGAAAACTGCTGTTACAGCAGTCGGGCTAATTGAAACCAGAAAAATATCTCGAAGGCAGAAGAAATCTGAGCAGCACGTGCAGTATTTTACTCCAAATTAGCCAAAATGTTGTAAAAGGAAGCAGGTTTGCTTGGATTTGTCACTGGTGAAGAAGTTGTCAGTACTTTTCCATAGTAGATACACTAGCTCATAGCAGAGTATAAATAAAACTTCTTACGAATGTTAAGGAGGGAAGAAAGAAAGGCAGGCAAAAATAATCCAATGAGAGCACTTTGTATCTAAGCCACAGAAGATCTTAGTTACTACTTCCCCCTGCTGACATGGGACAGGGACGAGACAGATGGGAACAGTTGAAGAACTCTGTTATCTTTACAGACCTAAACTTCTCAAACAATCGAGTTCCTTTAGCTAAAAATATCTGTGTGCACGTCATCTCTGTTATCCTCCATCCTTAGTTATTTTTGTAAAGGAAGAGTGTTCCTACGCTGCCTCATGTATAAGAAATGGCAGATGCTAAATTGTGATATCCCTGGGCCAATCTACACAAAGTAACAGCAGCAGCATTAGCAAGTCAGAGGTCTATATACAGCAGTGAAGAACAGAGTATGGGTTTGTTTGAAGTGCTGCTATTTATTCATCTTTCATATCTTCTCCCAAGCTAAAACCATCGATTTGCACATATAAAAAATGCCATAGAAGTGATTCAGTACCTCACACAGAACCTCAGCTGGCACAGACATTGCATTTTAGCATTCTGTCTGGGGCTGTCTTTGTATAAATTACAAGGTTTTTAGGTTATCCTGGGCAGGAAAGGAGTACAAAATCTACTGGTACCCTCCAGTGGCAGATGCTTTCCATCCATCCAGAAGATGCCATTTCAGCTCTGCAGGAATCCACTGCTTGTGCTTCCTCTCCCAGCACACCAGCTCCCACCCTCTGGCCCTGCTGCTGCCAGCCTGTGCTGCAGAGCCTATGATGAGCCTGCAAACTGGGCCAGTGGTTGCATCCATGCCATACAACGGAGAGGCACCTGAGGAGTTGGTACTCAGAGGAGCTCTGCAAAGGCACTGCAGGCAGTCTGGGAATCACAGGACCCCATCTGTGGAGCAGAAGCAGAGTTGCTTTTCTGTTGCTTTACTCTTGTAAGAGTTTGCCCTGTGGCACAGTCTGCTTTCTGAACCTCAGCTGTGTAGGTGGCATTTGCACAGTTGTCAGCTTCTCCCAGCTTTCTAGTGAGGGGATTTGTCAGAGTTTTCCATGTTACTGCTAGAAGACTTGACAAAAATAGCTTGATAAAGATTAAAGGCTGCTTAATGGTATGGAGTCCACAGTCCCTTGCAGCAGTACTGCATGAGAACAAAGTAATTGTCTCTTCTCTCCCTGCTCCCTCAGCAGCCCAGCAAGTAACTATGTGCTCCCTCCAGCCTGACCTCATTTCCCCCTGTTCAGTTAATAACTGGAGGCTTTAAGCCCACGTTTCCCCCATCATCTCAAAGGCACTTCATCCATCCTTCAACTCCGAGATCACTGAAAGGCTTCAGGTGTTCAGGGCAATCTGGCAGGTTTTTCTCATTTATCACACTAAGGCTGATAGTGCAAACACATAGAGGATGGAGGGTCAGCAGAGGGTAAGCAGATCTCTTTGTGTACTCCTGGGGATCTGCATTCTGTTTCTCTGATTTTCCCAGATGTTCCAAGGAGGGAGCTGGCTTTTTCCCTATGTTTTGTGGTTTCTTTTCATCACAAGAACATGCAATGCAATTTTCCTGAGCTGTAAATACTTCCCTCATTCACAGCTAGCGTGCAATGAACATATTTGTCGTCTTCTAATTAGGATTTCATCACATCTCTCAGCCTATATCTACTGACTTATTCGGTCACATTTCAACACTGAGAATTAAGCTAGGACTTTTGAAAATGGAGACTGACAAGGACTAGGATTAACTAATAAAGAACTAGGCCTTCAGTGCATAGCGTTCAAACAGCTACAGAACACAATTGTCTGTAGGATCAGAAATATATAATTCTTTGTACCCACAGGAATATATATATATTTCAGACTTCTTTACAGAAAGCCACAAATCTCCTTTTTCTGGCATCCCAAACAATTTAGGGATTCATTTTCCATTCAGAATTGCTGGACCTGTCTGCTCACCTCTCCCTGCTCCTTCCACTCACACTAGACTGCACACATGGATGCTCCCTGCAGAAAGAAGTCAGCTGCAGTCCTGCTCTGCGAGGCAAAGTCCTGTAGGGATCACTTCTGCAAAAACCAACCAGACATAACTATCACAAGTGATCTCCCACGCTTGCAGCCAGAATCCCAGCTCATCCGCATCACCTGGAACAGGCAGTAAGTGTTGAATGAAACACTGTCACAGAAAAGACAAGAGGAAAATAAGACTTGATAAAAATTGCAAGAGACTAGGATTTGAAAGGATTTAGCCAATATACCACACAGGCACCATTCATCATCTCACTGTGGTTTTAAGCAATCCAGCTCCTATTCTTGCCGCTTTCATTTGACATTAATCTCTGTTTGTGCAGTGGTGAAAGCTAATGACCAATGAAGAATGATTTCAGTGGTCTTGGTAGTGACCTGGACACATAACTGCCAAGAGCTAAGCAAGGAGGAAATATGAGGTGTGGAAAGATAGAAGGAATTTAAGGCCAGTTGAACATATCCTTTTTATGCATGCTTAACTTTAATCAGAGATCTAACGTGACTCATCCTACAAGTCTAAGTAAAATTAAGTCTAGATAAACGTGATTGTAAGATCAGGACTTGATGTAATAAAAAACCATTTTGCGTCGATAATTTCACCATATAGAGGCTGCCAAGGAGAAGATATGTTTAAAAACTATTAATTGTTGCTGTTTTTTAAAGCAAGATTGTTGAACAAAGTTCAAAGCATAACATCCTAGAAACCATTTTAATGATGAATGAATTGACATGAAAAATAAGCTCAAACAGATCATTTCTAACTGGGCTGATCATCAAGTCCTTGCAATTATATTTGTCATCTTCACAGTGCAGACCTATATGTAATTTTCGTTGTTTATGGTTATCTTCCATGATAAAAATCCCGATTTCCATGATAAAAACTACACCAAGAGCCACAGATTCACACTTCAAAGCTGGATGAGCATTAACAGCACTGTGAATAAGTAAATCAAGTAAACTGTATTGGAGAGAGCCCACTGAGCTGCAGCCCTTCAGGATTCTTGACTTCACCCTGAATTCAATCCAGATTGCAATTGGATTTGCATGTGTCTTCAGTCCTGTGTGTGGTCCCATTATGAACAGTGAATGAGGAATACTGGCACAGAGGAACAAAGTCAAGAAAATAGGAGAAATACATTTCATTACTGCTTTGCACGTTGGAAGATGTGATACAACAATCGAAATTTAAATTAATTCCAGCATGGAAAAAAAAAATAGGCTCTTTCCCCTTTTCCCATTCATAGACCACTGCAGGCCTCAATGATGTTGTAATTTTGTTCCACAGAACATGCCAGAGATGAGTTTTCACATCTTCATTCTGCTTTGGCCCAGCACTCTGATCCTGGCTTACAGAAAAGACAGCCCAGTAGAGAAGATTCTGCAAATTCTTGGAAGGCAAAAAAGCTGATGTTAATAGGACAAGAGTATTAGGGGAAACTCCCCTTTTGGCTTTGCTTTTCATTATTGCTCTATTGATTTAATCTTTTGTCTTTATGTAAAAGGAAGCAAAAACTGGACTACACAAGCAGTGTATGCTTCTCTGGCCAGAGGTTTTGCAGCTCCTTTATATGTACATTCTATGTATTGTCCGTTTTAGCTCTTTAGTCTCATGGTTTGTTGTTCTTTTTTTTAATTGTGTAAAAAGCTGTCATAGCTGAATGTTGAACCTCAAGCAAGATGCTGTTAGATCTCCAGTTACACGGACAGATTACCCAGTCCAGGAATTCCCTGCCATGGAAAGAACTTACTTGTTGCTCTTTCCCCTGACTTTAGCTTCTGCTCTGGCTCTTCCTGCCTTGTGGTGATGCTCATTAAGTCCTTTGATCCTAACATGAGAAAAAAAAGTGTGCAGTGTGGTTGGTTTTCCAAAAAAGAGCGTTGAATCAACCCTTGGAGAGGTTCTATGGTCCCTGGTGTTGGTACAAGGCAACCAGCAGGAGAGGGCAAATGAGAGGAGATGTCAACAGAGGAGGGGAACAGGCAGCTCATCAAACCACTGTCTTCATCCCAGTTAACCTAAAGCTTTAGGTAGGATCTGGGTCTATTTAGTTATTAGTCCAGAGATTTTTCTCTGTATCTCAGCCATGTTCTTTACTACTGTCTTTTGGTACAATGTGGACACTGAAACACGTGGTTCTATTTGTTTGTTTGTTTGTTTGTTTTAGTAGCACAGAAGGTTGCTTGAGGTGTGGGCAATGGGAAGCAGCCAAAGGCCAAAGTGTTTTGAAGAATAATAAAAAAAAAAGAATAACATGTCAGGGAAGAAATAGATCAGCTAATTCCTTGTTTCTTCCTTCTCGTTGTTACTGACTGTCTACACACACCTCTTGAAGCAGTTATTCTGGTTATACACAGGTCTATGGATTTTATAGCCAGTTTGATTGCTCAGACACACTGGCTACTGCTGAGAGCAGAGTAATGATCAGTGATAATCAAAAGAATGTTCAGATAGGCTGTAAGAACACAGACTTTATCTCTGGGTATGAAGAATGGAAACAAAGTGAAGTACTCGTGGATTCTGAAGACATTTGTGTTATTTTCTATTTTGATATAATTTATTTTGTTGTGGTTCTGTGATTTTGTTCACATGATTCTGTGATGGTAGACATCTTTCTGGAGTCCTGCTGATACCGCTTGTCTTGAAACCTCAGCTTGTGCTGGTTTTGGCTAAGATAATTTTCTTCATAGTATTTGGTACTGTACCACATTTTAGGTTTGTAACAAAAAGTGTTGGTAACACACCAGTGTTGTAGCTGTGACTGAGCAATGCTTTCAGAGTCAAAGTATTTTCCATTTCTCAATCAGATCTTCTCAGCGAGTGGGAGTGCAAAAGGAGCTGGGATGGGACAGAACCTGACAGCTGACCCAAACTGACCAAAGGGATATCCCACACACCATGAGAATATGGTCAGCAATAAAAATTGCTGGGGAGGAAGCTTGTCAGGGCTGCCATTGCTTGGGGTCTGGCTGGTGGTGAGCAATTTTTTGTGTCATTTGTTTTTAATTGGTTCCTTTCTTCCTTCCTTCTTTTCTTCCTTCCTTCTTTTCTTCCTTCCTTCTTTTCTTCTTTTCTTCTTTTCTTCTTTTCTTCTTTTCTTCTTTTCTTCTTTTCTTCTTTTCTTCCTTCCTTCCTTTCGTTCTTTCGTTCTTTCTTTCGTTCTTTCGTTCTTTCTTTCGTTCTTTCGTTCTTTCTTTCTTTCGTTCTTTTCTCTCTCTCTGTCTTCCTCTCTCTTTTTCTCTTTCTCTTTTTTTTCCTTTCTCTCTTTCTTCTTCTCTTTCTCTCACTCTCCCTTTCTTCCTTCTTTCTTTCCTTTCTTCCTTCTTTCTTTCCTTTATTCCTTTCTTTCTTTCTTACATATTAAACTGTCTTTATGTAAATGAGTTTTCTAACTTTCACCTTTCTGATTCTCCCCAGGGGACAATTAAGAAGTGAGCAAGTAGCTATGTAGTTTTTTAGCAGCCTATGAGGGTTAACACACAACAGTTCTTTCTAATGCCCAATATGAGGCAATAAAGGGCTTTGAGTTAGCAAGAGATTTGACCAGAACATGTGAGAGGAAACTTAGAATTTTTTTCTCTATTAAACTGCTGCTGGTCATGATACTGACTTATGTGTTCTCAGTGCTGTTTTGATTCACGCCATGCTCCTTTTTTGCTGTACATCAAGTATGAGATCTTGTTAAAGGCTGGTTTTGGCTTTTGCAGTTTGCAGTGCTGTGTAGCACTTTGTTCTTACATTGTGCCATGGAGAATTATGGTAAAAGCACTAGCCCTGAGTAAGCACTGTGTTTATATCAGTCACCATTTCCATAAAGCTATGTTTCAGTTTGGAACTAAAGCATATCAAAGGGACTGTTTGCCAAAACA